TACCAAAAAAAAAATTATGAAAAAAAGGTCACGTATACTAAAAAAATATTTTACTATACAATTAATTGATGAAAAAAGGTCACTTAGACAAATTCACTTTGTTACTGTATAATAAAATTGCATGGAACAAAGGTTACGTACGCTTAAATGAAATCTTCACTAATAGTTAAATTGTATGGTGAATATTTATATAATTTCATTTCTCATCACGTACTGACTGATTCAGTCAATAACTTTTTCATCACGTATCTGATTCAGTCTAGGAATAGTAGAATAGAATATAAGGAATAAAATAGGAATAATAGAAATAGAATAGAATAGTAATACAAAATACAGTTTGATTTATGAATCATCACAAATGTCATCGAGAACGGGAAAGGGAGGGAGAGAGAGAGAGAGAGAGACGGACAAAAAGTACTACAATTGTTTTTTTCCATTCCGAACACATTGAAATCATGGTGATGTTTCAATTTTCTTTATCTTAACTATCATCCTCTCCCTTCCTTTCTCTTCCCCTCTCTCTCTCTTTCTTTCTCATTTTACTTTTCATTCTTGCTTAAAAAATTTTCTCTCTATTTCTGTTACTGCTAAATTATTAGCATCAAATTTCCCGTTTTGTTTTCATTTCCTCAATTTTTCAATTTAATTAGTTTTCCTTTTTTTTTTTTTTTAATTTTTCGAATTAAGAGATTATTATTTTGTCGAAATTTGATTACGATTATTAAAAATTTGACTGTAATCGTCAATTGAACCATTTTAAAATAATTTGAATTAGTAATGGAATAAAATTATTTCAGTTTGACGTGCAATAATTTTCCTCTATTATCAGTTCAAAGTAATTCAGTTAAATTGAATTAAAATTTTTAATATTTGATTAATTAGCATTAATGTTATCATCATTACTACTGTCGTTTACTTTTATTTTTTATTTTTTCGAATATTTCCTTAGATAAAATTACTTTCTTAAAATTTACTTTAGAAATATAAGTCTGCAGAATTCTTTTTTTTTTTTTTTTGTTGTTGAATGACGAAACTATTTTGGGATTACTTATTTCTTTTTCTTCTTCCATATTTTTCTTACTGTTTGTTGAAATTCAATTCTTCTCAAACAAGCTATAATTTAAAAAATTAAAAAAAAAAAAAAAAACAAAACAAAACAAAACAAACGGAAAAATGAAAAATGAAAGGGAAAACAGAAAAAATGTTCCCTTCAGTAAAATCAATTTTTTCTCATATGCATCTTTCTTTAGCACTACTTCCTTGAATTACATGTTCTTTCATATTTTATTTTCAAAAAAAAAAAGATAAAATAAAATTAAAAAAAATTTTTTTTTTTTTGAAAATATTCCCAATCAAATATTTAGATTGAATATCACATAGTTAATTATATAGTGTGATATTAAATTTTTATAGCAAAAATGAAAAAATATTTTGGTATCAAAAATAGCAATATAAAATTTAATTTAGTTTCTACTAGTACATTCATTTTAACTAACAAAAAAAAAAAAAAAAGAAACAAAATTATGATGATTCTTAAAATGAAGCTTTGATTTTCAAAAAACGTCATCATTTCTTCATTTTTCTTTTTTATGTTTGCAGCTAAACTACAGCATTAATACCTTTAGGATTAAAATCAATTTCAATTTTATTTTTTGAATTGGTATGAAATATTTCTTTGTGTTGAAGAGTGAATGATTGTTTACAGTAAAGTTAGATAGTGTTCATTAAATAATACTGAAATTGAATGATTCATTTATTTACAAATTAAATTAGCAAATTTAATAGAAGTATGAATAAATATTGCAATAAATAATGAATAAATAATTGTAATTACTTGTATTATTTCATCAAAATTTATACAGTATACAGTGCGATAAACATAATTGTCGCTTGAAGGATTTTTTTTAGCTTTTCTGTGAGGATATTACGAAGTTGCAGCAATTACTTCCAGAATGTCTGGAATGGATCTGCTAGAGTTGAGCTTTTTAAAATATCCGGAACAGATTTTAACAGCTTTATTACAAATAATGCATCTGATGATTGTTTGAAGCGATTTTTTTGTAAATTGCTTTTTGAATGCTTTTGAATGTATGATATGTATCGTAAGTAAGCATTATGTGGAAATATTTTTAGAATGCTTTAATTAATTGCTGTACTTTTGTTATAATTAATGTTGTTTTAGGTCATAGGTTAGTTTAATACTTGGTTTATAATCTTTTAAGAGTTAGTTTAAAGAAATGTTCAAATGTATCATTTAGTTTTTGCTAATTTAAAAATATGATTATATGAAATTGGAATGTTTTACGAAACTTATAACGTTACATAATAGGAAAGAAAAAATCTTTCAACAATTTTGCAAAAATTTCCAAACAATTCAATGAACAAGAATTTTCAAAATCGTTTAAATTGTTAATTCAATTAATAATTGGAACTGACGAAAATTTGATTTATTAAAAATGCATGGAATTTAGTATTTGATTTCTCTATTATTATTCAATTTATTCTAAAAATGACTTATATGCTGTAATTAGCCTACATATTTTTTTTATTTGATATCTATTAGCATATAATTTTTTTAATCGATTAAGTGACGAACTAATTGATTGCTATTGTTTAATTACTTCTATAATTGTAAAGAAATTTTCAACCTAATTAATTATTTACTTATAATTAATAAATTTTATCAGAATGATACAATAAGCAATGCTAATAATGTTGCAGTTTGTTCATTGTGTGACAGTATGATGACAGCAACATTTGCTTATGTTGTGGAAGGCATGTGGACGAGCAGACAAGAATCATCGAGAAGCAACTGCAAAGAAAAAACTTCGTCGACAAGTAATTAATCGTTAATTTCAATTAAGATTCGATATACGTTTGATTATTAAACCTTTTGGATAGTTAATGTGAAATGAAAATTGGCAAGATAGATAAAAATTCTATTTATTGATTCAACCTTATTTTATAATTTAAATCAGGAAGCGTAGATTATTGCTATTATTGTTATTACTATTGTTATATTTTATTATTTTTATTATTACTATTACTTATTATTTTTTATTATTATTATTATTATTATTATTATTATTATTATTATTATTATTATCATTATTATTATTATTATTATTATTATTATCATTATTATCATTATTATTATTATTATTATCATTATTATTATTATTGTTATTATTATTATTATTATTATTATTATTATTATTATTATTATTATTATTATTATTATTATTATATTATTATTATGTATTACTGGTGGAAATATTTTCATACTTTTCAAAATACCAATAATTAATTCGTATCAAAATTGTGTTACTATCCTGTTATTTGGGAAGCAGGTGAAAATTTTACTGTTGGGCTCAGGAGAATCCGGAAAATCAACATTTATCAAACAAATGGTTATCATAAATGGACGAGGTGAATTTACTGCTGATGAAATACGAGCATATCGGCAGCAGATCTATCAGGTGGGCAATTTGATAAGCTTTAAAGTAGGCTAGCTATAATGAAATTATCTGTGTTAAGTTAATTAAACTGGAAACTCATCTATAAATTGTAATGTATAAAAATGAGAAAATATCTGTTTAATATGTGACATTCAATAGATGATGAGAAATGAATTTAAGCAAAATTTCTTCAACTGCTGAAATTGAAATTTTTAGAATGTAATTGCTGCAATGAGAGTGCTTCTTGATGCACGCCAGAAGTTGGGGTATGCTTGGAAGAATCCTGAAAGGCAGAAGAATGTTGATTCTATTATGAGGTGAAATAATATTTGAATTAATGAAAATGATTGGAAATATTACCTTCAGTTTTAAATAGTTTTTAGGTTTACAATATCAGATATGATGCGAGGTATCGATCAGTCTACATTTGCCGAGATAGCTCCGTTAATACGAGATTTTTGGGAAGATGCATCAATCAAACAGACATATGAACAACGGAATCTGTTTCAGATTGTAAGTTTATTGCATATGGTTTTTCACTTTTAGTTCATGAAAATTAGTATTTTAAAATATATCTTAAAGTGGTGTAAATTATGGAATTCATTTTGAAGAAATTTTAGATAGGATTTTGACAAATGACAATATAAAAAGTGTCATATTAATTATTTAAACTTATTAATGGACATAATTGTATTAATGAAATGATGTTTATTTTTAGAACTCTTTGTGTTTAATCTAATTTGAAATTTTTGTTTCAGTCTGATTCCTGCATATACTTTTTCGATCATATTAATCGAGTATCAATGCCGGATTACTGTCCAACTAATCGGGACATATTATTTTGTCGAAAAGCTACACGAGGAATAACTGAGCATGTTTTTGAAATACAGCGGATTTCATTTAGGTATTAATTTAAGTAGTGAGAATTTAGGTTTTAGTTCTGTTCAAATTATAATTTAATCAGATTGTCTAAGTTTTATCAATAGGTTTGAAATTAATATCTATTCAACTTTGAAAATAACTGCTATAATTTCTTTACATTTAATAAATTTGAGCAGGGCATTAATTAATAACAGTAGAATGTGGTTAACTTTTTTTTTTTTGCCTTCAATTCTGTTTTTAATTAATTTAATTGGTAATTTACAGATTTATTGATGTTGGTGGACAACGATCACAACGACAAAAATGGTTCCAGTGTTTTGAAGGTATTACAAGTATACTATTTATGGTTGCTTCATGCGAATATGATCAAGTAATTTTATTTTGATTTTTGCTTGTAAAAAAATATTGTATTCTGATTACAATCTCTTAACAATTAAAATTTTGCAGAAGATTGTTGATTTTAAAATTTATGAGAAGAATTTTATGTACATACTTTTCCAGATGCACTTTTTTTATAAGTAAATTAGTTTCTGCTTAATATTCTATTGCATTACAGGTAATTCTTGAAGATCGAAGGACGAATCGTGTTGTTGAATCGCGATCTGTTTTGAAACAATTGCTAATAATAAATCATTCGCCAATGTTTCCATAATATTGTTTATGAACAAAAGTGATTTACTTGAAGGTAAGTTAAATATTAATTATTTCAAAATTTGTTTTTCTAATCTCATATTTTTTGATAGACTAATTGACTGCCCTGAGAATGCAATTAGATAAGTATAGCACATAGTGTTATTTATTTATTTATTTAATTTCATTTATTTATTTTGTCATAGCATTAGTAAGTAATGTTGCAGAGAAGGTACCAAAGTCGGATATTCGACAATATTTTGCTGATTTCACTGGTGATCATAATAGTTTGCGTGACGTTCAGTTTTTTCTAGTGGATAAATTTGAGAATTGTCGACGTGATAGACGACGACCATTTTTTTATCATTTTACAACAGCAATAGATACAGAAAATATTAGACGTGTATTCAAGGATTGTCGTGAAACTATTTTGGAACAAAATTTGAAAGCATTAATGATGCAATGATTATAATGATAATAGTATACTATTAGTAAAAAAAGGAAAAAAAAGCGGAAATGAAGGTAGAAAGTGATAATAATACCTGAATGAATAAATATATGCATCAAAAAACCTTTTTTTTTCTCGTTTCATTAAAAAGTTTAATCAATCAAATTTTACACTTTATGTTGATATGTTAATGTTATCATTGAGAATGTAACTGTAAATTCTGCAAAACTTAAATAATTTTGGCATCGTTTCGTTTTCCTTCATTTTGCTTTTTAATTACACGCATTTTTAACTGACTTAAAATTATTTTAATCAAAAAATTTTATCAGGTGTATAAAAAATTTTATCCCCTAAGAATTTATAGTAACAGGTGAAAGTACCTCAAAAATCAAAATTTTTCAAAAATTTTCTTTTACAGTTCATATTAATTTTATTGATTGGAATTAGTAATAATTTGCAAAAATATGTTAGAAAATATTAATAATTATTTTTCCATAAAATTTTCTTGTTGCTTATAAAAAATAATATATGAAACTAAATTAAAATATTTCAGTTTTACCTCAGTGAAGTACATTGACTTCAGCATGTTTCGATAAAGTACATTTACCTGACGTCACCATGTTTCATGTTTTAGGAATAGTAATTTATGTAATAATTCATTAACAAATTTGATAAGAAGCAATTATAATATAAAGTCCAGAAATATATATAAACCGTAAATATCAAAACAAACGAATTATAAAACAATGAGATTATTGTTCTGGAATGAAAACTTCAGTTTTACATTCCAAAAAGGTTTAGCCAATTAATTTGTGAATATGTGTTAATTTGGATAAATTGCTAAAATATTATAGCATCATTTATTCATATGAAAAGGACTCCGAAAATGTATATAATTCATAAATGTATGTATGTTTGTATATTAGGGCATAAGAATTGTGTGATATTTTTGCAATTCTATTGTCACTGATATTTATAAAGTTCTGAATTGATAACTTTAGTTTTACCATTCCGATTAATATATTTGGAATGCTAGAATTTTGAAATGTGAAATTTTGTGAAAATTGATATTCAAACGGTCGATAAACTTTAGTTTTTATTAGGACCTTTTTGATTAAATTAACTGCTCAAATTAATAGTGGAATAAATTTTTGACCGAAAAAGTTATACCATTCAACCATCTCGGGAAAGTAGCAGGAGATAGTCACAACATCGTTAAACAGATTATATTTCTAAAGCTTTAGTAATATTTCAAACTCAATTATCATTTCCTTGGTACCCAGTGATGTATGTTTATCATCAGGACTATCCGCTTACATCCAGCATCGTCTATCTAACCGGAATCCAGCCTGATATAACTCAAATGACTGATACCACCGATATGCTGAAGAGGTGATCGGTTAAATGAGTCCTTTTGTCGTGATGCAATCTTGTTTATTAAGGGGCATATGTGTTGTTAATTTGATGAATGTGGTTTTTCTTTCTTTTTTTTTCATCCGTTTCGTTTCAGTCACTGCAATTTGTCGGTTTCGAACTATTCCGTCCGGAAATCCTAAAACGCTAAAGAAATTCCTACAACTACCTTACCAAGTTTCGGCAAGACATTGTAAAGGGATACATTTTTCCACTTATCATGTATTTCTCATAGATCTCGGACTGTTTATCTTTCATTCTAGCTCTCTCCTTCTCTCTCTTCTTACTATTTATATTTGTATTCAACCCCAGTAATTCATTTTCTTGTTTATAATTTGTAATTATCTCATGACGATGATTTTTGGTTGTTATTATTTCTGAAATATTTTCTCATAATTTTGTATGACATGTTTCAGGGCAGAATTTTTGCAATGTCTTCATTACGAACAGTCAAGCTTGGCTGGCAAACTCATGCAGTTGGTATAGGTTGGTTAAATCTATTTCAATTACTTGGAATAGGAGGAAGGACGGAGAGTCGTGATTTGGTTATTATTAACTTGTAATATTTAATATTTGATGCTTTAGGATTGCTACGACATTATACGAGTACTCGAAGTGCATTACGGATTAATAAAGATACGAAAGTGATAATTCAAGGGTTTACTGGGAAACAAGTAAGAATGAAAATTTGTATTTATTTGCTTATTTTGCTTGCAATGCACTGATATCTGGTACACAATGGATAGATCAGATGCAAGATTTCTTAACTTCAAAATTTTGCATTTCTAGCAAACCGTGCATTTGTATCATCATATCCTACGCGTAATCCCATTATCATGTACCACGTCTCAGCTGGAAGACTGCCTGTTTTGATGGTTCTTGATGTTTGTTGAAGACAAGATTTAGATAATCAGAGAAATTAGATTTAGCGGAAGTTCACTGCTTTATTTTAGGCAACTTTTCATGGCCAGCAAATGATCGATTATAATACTAATGTTGTTGGAGGTGTTTCTCCAAACAAAGCCGGTACAGTGCATCTTGAAAGACCTGTTTTTGGTACTGTTAAAGAAGTTAGTTTAAATATTGCATTTTATGGATTTTTATCAGTTTTATTAGTGAACAGGCTGACTTTTATTGACTTTGCTTTCAGACAATATATATTGAGCTGATATTCTATCGCTTCTGAAATTTGAAATAAGTGATGTAAGCTACATTGGAAGGTTACTATGGTAGATGATCAAATAGGTTAAATTCGATGTATTGATTTGTTGTCTTATTGTATATCGATATATTTTCCCCTGTAAGAATGTGTCACAAAATTTCAGGCTCGTGAAGCAACAGGTGCAGATGCATCAGTTATTTATGTACCGGCACGCTTTGCAGCTAAAGCGATCGACGAAGCAGTAGATGCGGAAATTCCACTGGTTGTTTGTGTTACGGAAGGTGTTCCACAACAAGATATGGTTAAAGTTCGAAATAGACTAATGAAACAGAACAAGACTCGTTTGCTTGGTCCAAACTGCCCAGGGATAATTTGTGTATGCTCCAATTTTTATTGAATATTAAGTCACTAGAAGCTAAATGAAGCATTTTATGTATATTTGTAAATCAGACACCCGTGCTAAATTTTTCCTTTTAAATTATTGTAGTTTTCACTAAAAATTATTTACAAGTGTTCTTTTCTTCTGTTGATTTAATTTTTTGCCCAAACTTTTAGCCGGAAGAATGCAAAATAGGTATTATGCCGGGACATATACATCGAAAAGGAACTATTGGCGTCGTTTCACGATCTGGAACTCTTACATATGAGGCAGTTCACCAGACGACGGTTTGTGGTCTTGGACAAACATTATGTGTTGGCATTGGCGGTGATCCATTCAATGGCACAAATTTCATTGATTGTCTTGATATTTTCTTGAGAGATCCCCAAACTAAGGGTTAGGTTTTTATATTTGGATTTCTAAGCCTTCTTTTTTCCATTTCATGAATTAAAGCAAAAGAAATACACTACTATTTTTGCAGGTATTATTTTAATTGGCGAGATTGGTGGACAAGATGAAGAAAAAGCTGCAGAGTTTTTAAAGGAAAATAATTCGGTATTTCTTTTTGTTAATATATTGGATATGAAAGTATGGTGAGATGAATTTATAGTTTCTGCTGGAAAGATTTCACTACGATGGCTTAATTTATTTAGGGATCAAATGCTAAGCCAGTAGTATCATTCATTGCCGGGCAGACTGCACCGCCAGGTCGGAGAATGGGACATGCCGGTGCGATTATTGCGGGTGGTAAAGGAACTGCCGCTGATAAAATTGAAGCTTTGAAAAGTGTTGGTGTCCTCGTAAGTCATTTAAAAAGTTTCTGAAGTTATATCAAGACATCTTTTATTAAATATTATTCACGTATGGCAACTGTGATTGTCCAAAATCAACATACAACGGACAGGGTGCTTTTAAAACTGCAATCACTTTTTTTTTTTTTTTCCTCAAGTTTTTAGAATTTTTCTATAGCGTGATATAGTGGGAACTAATCTTTACCTACTGATGGCTTAACGAATGAATAAATACAAGTTAAACTGTTGATTGGTTAGGAATCAATGTGCTTATTTGTAACAACATATGGAGATTGATTGATATATCTCAGACGTAACTTGATTTTTTTGTACTGACATTTTGCAAATAAGGACTGTTGCATTTGGAATATTTAGGTCTCGGCATCACCAGCGCAGATGGGTGCAATGATGGCAAAAGCTCTGATGAAGAAGATCTAAAATTGTGGTTACAGGAATACAAATCCATTCTCAGACTATACGTGTTGTTTTCCATGTATTAGATGAAAGTCTATGTTAATGTTACTTAGTGTTGTTTTTATCGGAGTAGTTAATATTCAGCTTAATATTTGTTTTTACTCTCATTTATTTTTTCTTTTCTTCAACACTTCTAAGTATCCATCTTTATCAGAATTCTTCGGACATTTAGGGTCCCATGCGTTATCATTTCATTTATTACACAGTTAACTACAGTAGACAATATCTTTTCTTAATTGTTATCGATCGATCCTAAAGTTTTCAATAATTTAACCTAGAAATATTTTGAATTACACTGCGGATAGGACTTTAGATTGTTGAGGAAAAAGACATGTTTTAATACTAACAATAACTCTAACATTTTTTGATGTTAACACTCTCCAACATCTTCTTGAATTGCAGAAAATTTTCAGATTAATTAACGGTAGTTCAAGAAGGTACTGTACATTCCGCTATGTTTTCGATTTATGTTTCGTATTAAGTCCGGTGAATATATAAACTAGGGTATGAACAGTTCGGGTTGAGTGTAGTTTGGGTTTCTTTGATAAAATATACATCTCTCTAGATGATGTCATTATACATATATTTCTGGAGGATAGTGAGGGAATTCGAACTTAAGCCTAGACAATAAAATATCATGTGCTGCTAGCGGTCGTGGCCTTGTTTGTTTCATTTTCTATTTACATATGGAAGGAAGGATGGATTTTGGTGCTTTCTTCTGCTTTTATGAACTATTACTGTTTTGCAGGTACGTTGGATTAATTAGTTTTACAGTTATCATAAGCTTGCAGGGTTGTTAGATTCTACAAATGCCTAAAATAATCCATTCCTTCCATATGTAAATAGAAAATAAATGAAATTCCTTTTACTTTTTCGTTATGCTCAGAAGATACCTCATGGATTTAATCATGGAATCATTACATACATTTGATATAACAAGAAATGTTTTAAATGTTAAACAAACTTTTTAGCATTTAAAACATTAAATAACCTTTGGATTTTATTAGGATTTTGACAGTTATATCAATGATATGGATAGCGAAGTAACATATGAGTATTAAATTTGAAACGACAATACTATGACATGATGAATGAAATTGTAATCATCACAATGAAAATGATGATTTGACACTGGCTTTCATTAACTGGACTTCTACTATTGGATAATTCGCCCACCGTAAGCGTAATATCAATTGCTGAATCAGTTGTTATATCATCATCGCGTACCCATAACTCGTTGAATACATATACTTGCCTATCGTTTACGTGTTCTCGAAAACTAAATATTTGAGCTGTTTCTGATAATTTTAATTTCTGCCGTTCTTATTTTGTTACCATATGCATATCAGTCACTGATAAAGCGTACAGCTTTGTAAATTTGTAGATTTATACGGCAAAAATAAAAAATTTATGGATGAAACTACTCACCTAATCTCATCATTCTCCGTAACAACCTTTGTAACGAATCCATGAGTTTCCAAAAGTGCCAAGATTGACTTACTACCCATGAAATGACCTGGAAGTTTTAGACAAGATCACATTCTGATTTTATATGATTTACAATTTGGACAGATATGTTGGAAAAGTCCGCATCTATATTATTCAAAAGAATTTCTTCTTACCTTTCAGATAATATAAAATATTTTTAGTAGCTAATATGATTGTTGCAATAGCAGCGTGGCGCATATGACATTTCTTAATTTCTTAAATATTTAAGGTTTAATCCTCTATTAATTTCCAAAATTGCTGCCATCCTATTCTCCTATATTTTATAGTTCAAAAAATTGCATGTCAAAAACCAATACCTTTATATAGATATCTAGAAAATATATATATTTAAATAGCAAATTTTGATACTAAATTAAAAGTTGATTTATTTTCCTTCTTTTATCAAATTTTTTTTTCATCATAAATTTGATTGGAACCTATTGGAAGCGTTTTACGCTTATCTTTTAGTACAATCAGTTAGAAAAATTAAGAAATCTTATTCATGAGAACTAGTTAGTTAGTGTGATTTAATTACTCATAATGTTTCAGGATCTCAAGTAACCTTAGTAAATAAATCAATTAAATATACAATAATCGTGCAATAGAAATGAAGAAAATATGCATGTAATTTTCTCAAAATTTTTATAATTTTTAAATTATGCATTAAATAGGACAAGTTTATGTATTTTCAAAGAATTAGCTAGTTTTTTCCTGAGAAAATTGAAGCGAACTACTGCTAAAATTTCATGAAATGAGTAACTTAGCTTTTTTGTCCAAATAGTCAAACAAAAAAGCAAAAAAAAAAAAAAATCGTTTTTATGGTTAAGACTAATTGTTTATCTACAAAATTGAAATGCTAATTCTCATTGTTTTTTTTTTTTTTTTTGCTTTTTCTTTAATACCAATAGATGAACAATTAGTACAATGCATATAAAATAATCAATTAAGTTGAAAATATCTGTTTTTTTTTTAATGAATTGATATTTTTTAATAGTTTCAACACTTAGCAAAAATGAAATTTGATAATACTAGAATTTATTTCCTTGTTTAATATACAAAAACTGTTACAAATTATAGGATTTTCTGAAAATGAACGAATGAATGGAAGGAGATGGAATGAATTAATCAGTGATTGTATTATTAGTAGTAAATAAAGTGTTATTGTATTGTAAACACTGAAATATTTCACGAAGTAAGAAGAAAAACGAAAAGCTATGAAAATCATCCAATAAAAAGTATTTGAAATAATTTTATTTCAAAAAAAAAAAAAATGCATAATAAATAATTAAGAAATTCTTCCAGTTTAATTCAGGATATCTTACCGGCTCCTAAAGCAAAGAAATATTGACTGCCCACTTTCCATCGTAATAATTTAGCGATACGATCAGCCATTCTAATGTTTCGTCGTTCAATAATATCTTGACGAAGTTGATTATCAATCTGTAGAATTTTTTTTTTTTTCAATTTAAAATATAATATTTAATATTTGTAAAGATTTGAAATCAAACTTTTCTTTTTCATTCAATTATAATGTATATATGTATGTTTGAAATGATTAGAATGTTTTATTGTTATAGTTGCAATTCATTTTAGATAGTAAATTATTGATTTTTAAAGTTTTTTAAAATATCTTCCGGAAGAAAAAAATAACAAAAAAAACTAAGTAGTCTTAAAATTTTTAAATTATATTTTATCAAATTGAAATAAAATATTATTAACTTTACTTCTTGAGCTTTTCGATCAAGTTCCACTGTAATACTAAATCCTTGATGAATAAATCGTTTGGAATCAGTATTGAATAGCGATTCATCCAATGAACCACACTTATAACTATTAATTAAATTAACAATACCACTGTTATTTGATTGCATTCCAGCCATTGTTAAATTAAATTCAAATTCCAGATATGACAACGTATAATTAATTGCAAATAGTAACTAGAAAATGTTATTCTGAATATAGCAACTGAATTAATAATAATTTGCAATTCATTTGTCATTAGTTCTTGTCTAAATGTAATATTAAATTTCCAATGTTAGTTTATTAGATTAATAATAAAAGAAATGTTTTCATTCAAAGTCATTAAAACAATTGAAATATCATAATCGATACATTAAACATTAACAAGGAATCAATCAATGATAAAACAGAATGATTGAAATGATGAAGTTTAACAAGTTACATTTTCTAAATCCATTTATATTTGATACAAATATTAATTAGTGAAATATTTAACCATAAGGTTAAAGGTTAAAACAAATTAAAGAAGCAAATGATTGTAACAATTTTCCATCTGTTCGTGCCTCTAAAATATCAGTTTATTCTTAATGCATACTAATGTACTGTTTTCACTTTAATTACTAACAAACTAATTGCTTGTATAGGAAAATTCTGAATTGTTTATCCAATAATTATCCATTTAACTGCCCCAGTTATTTTTATAATTGTCACATGCTAACACATTTTTTTTTTCTCAATTATATAGTTTATTAGAAATTTGAAATGAAATAACAAATAAAATTACACATAAAAAAAAAAAAAAGATTTTTTTTCTGGATAAAATACATGAAATAACCATGAAAAAAAAAAGTGCGATAGAATTGGTGAAATTTTTGTTGTTTATATTGATTTATTTAATGCCTTTTTTTTTTTTTTTTGTTTCAATAGTAAAAAATTTACATTCTACTCAATAATTTTAAAAATAGTAAATAAAATGATTGATAGGAATTATTAAAAGATCCCTTTTCATATATTGCATAAACAATTGACAAGAAATTTTAGAGGGCTTTGTTTTATTATATCATTTCATCGATTATTATTGAGTAAACAATTAATTTTTCTTTAATATTTATAAAATCATGAAATAAGTTTTTTTCCCATTTAGAGAATTTTTACTAACCTGATCCATACGTACAGAACGAAGCGGATTACATTGCTGAAAAATAAAAGATGGCTCAATTTATAAATCTGTTAGTTATTTAAAAAATGATTGAAATTGTTAGTCGTTTTTTTTTTTAAGAAAAAAAAATGAATTATATGATTTTGATAATTTTTGATTATTTTTTTATTAATTAGAAAAATTTGATAAATAACTTCGAATTAATAATTATTTTTACTAATAGCTGTGCGTTAATTATTATCAAAAAATTGCATTTAAATTGAATTAAAATATAATAAAAAGAATTACATTGTTCAAAATGTATTCATTTTGTTGAAATCACGAAAAAAATTTATTTTTAAATAAATTAATAGCTTCATTTATTAAACTAATAGATGGAAAAGATGCAAAAAAAAAGAAGCTTTGCATAATATATACATATAATTATATGTATAATACATATAGCTATAATAGTTAAATAATTGAATATTTCAAATTAATTAAATTTTAGAAATACTTAATTTTAAATTTAATCTTAAAATTGTTTGGAAATCTCAAAATTTGAAATCTAACCTCAGTAGCAGTTTCAATTGAATAAAGTTTTTTATTAAGTTCAAGCGCATATTGAGCAAGAAATAAATCAAGCATTGGTGTATGCTCACGGTAAAGGTATTTTTCGCTTAATTGATACAATAGGAATAGCAACCAAACCGGTCGTCGTCGTTCCCATCCTTCTGAATGGAAAAAGAAATAAAATAAAATTTTGAATGATAAAAATTATAAGAAAAAAATTCAATTTTAATTTATATCAATGAAATTTACAAACAATAACTTATAATTAGTAACATATTTTAATGATGTCTTGTTAGTAATGTTATTTTTTTCTTTTCTCTTTTTTTTTTAATTAATTCTTCAGAAAATGCATCAAAATTACTGTTCATAAATAATTATCTCAATGAGGTCAGAAGAAGGTAAACAATGATATTTACCTTGCGGGTAGAGTTATCTTTTTACCGTTTACAGATATAAATATAAATGAAAGTAAACAATACGGTTAATATATATGCTCAACTAATATTATACATGCAAATATCACTTTTTTTCTTTTCGCATTTTATTTGCTATGTAAATAAAATATAAATGTATGAAAGATATAAAGAAAAAAAAAATACTTCATTTGATGAAATTATTTATTTTTTTCATCAACATTTGATACATACCGACAATATTTCCAATCATATCACGAGGATGATTCCTGATTTCTGAATCGGATTGTAAATTTTCTTTTCGATCATATTGTCTTTCCAAATGATTCCGATAAATTCTCATATCTCAATGGTTTTTTTTTCTTATAGAATAAATTACAAACTGTTTTTTTTTTTTTTTTCTTGAAATCATGTAAAATAAATTTGCAGTCTAAAAATTCATCACTTCAATTTATTGCAGCAATTTATTGTAGACAAATAGATTTGTCCAAAAATAATGGAAAAGCAGGCAGTTTTGCTATTCTATTTTTAATTAATTTAATTATTTATTCATTTTTCAACCACAAAATACTGTATGAAAAATTTTTTCAAAAAAAGTGCTAAGTTTTTTTTTCGTCTTTTTATTGATAAATTCTGTGATATTCAATAATTTAGTCTCAAAATTTAAAAGTTTGCTTATCTCAAAGTCTTTTTTCGTTTTGTCTAATATTATGATATCATTAAATTGTTTTTAAATAGCATAGCTTTTTTTTACCACATCTCTCTCTTTTCTTTCTCCCTTTCTCTCTCTCTCTTTTCCCTTCTTTTTTTTTACTTCGTGCTCACAAATTTCAATTTAATTTCACTGAAATTATAAAATTCCATCATATATGCTAATAAAATAAATTATCACTCCTTTTTTTTTAATTTTATATCGATTTTAATAGCAAATTCATTTCATTTTTTTTTTTTTTTTTACTACTACCATATAATCAGATAATAAAAAAAGGTTTAAATCAACAACAAAAACTAAAATTAAAGCTGAAATCATTTGAATTTTATTTGAACACTAGTAATTTCATCAATACTACCCGTATTTTTTTTATTCAAATTCTGCACAAAACTATTTATTAGCCTTATGCAATAAAATTAAGATTACTGAGATAATAAAGAAAAGATCGAAAAAAACAAACAAACAAACAAATAGAATGCTAAAGAAATTCTGAAATTTTGAATGCAAAAAAGATGTCAGGTTTTAGAATTTGTTCGAATTTTAATATTTCTGCCTAACAAATAATAAACTATTATGATGACATTTTAAATGTAATCGATTAATTTAATTAGAAATATTTAATATTTATTAAACTAAAATTTCATTAATAAAAAACGAAGGAAATTCATGATAAAAAAAAAATTATACAATGTTCTAGCCTTAGATACAATTTGGGCGACAAATAATCCTTCACTGTACCACCGCCCGGAATATTTTTACATTTCGATAATTGTTCAATTGTATTTGCATTGTAAAGATCCAATTCAAAAACAACCGAATCTGATCGCGCAAATGCCGTTTTTACCTTTTCCGATACTGTAATTACAATCAAATTGGATATAAAATGCATTTTGTATAGTTGTAAATGGGAATGATTATTTTTAATTGATATGAAATTATATTCTTTTCATTGATTATATATAGTGTTATTCAAATTTAATTTATTATTACGAATTAATTAAGTTCATTTTTTGCATAGCATTTATTGTGGAATAATAATTTAAGTGAAATTTTAACTTTAATTGTTTAATATGGAAATAAATGTTCCATTGATCATTACCACGATCTTTTTGAATTTTGTCACTTATAAAATCATGAAGAAATGAATTTTATTATTTATTTCACTTAACATAACAACTCTTTTTTCTTCTTTTAGACAAATATGTATATTTTCTTTTCTTTTTTTTTTGCAAAATACTTTATTTTATATTAAAAACGAAATTAAAATTTAAAAATAAGAAGAAAAAACAGCCTTTCATTTTCTTTTCCAAAAATTTTCATTTGCTTATAACCAAGAAGTTACCAAAAAATTTTCAACGATTAAAAATATTTGTGCCATTTAATTTATAAAAGAAAAAATTATTTTTAAAATATTTTAGAGTAAAATGTTGAAAATAGTAACAAATTATTAATAATGTATTAAAGAAAAAAAAAATGAAATTATAAAAAATGATCAAAATGGAATAATTGAAGCAATTAGGTAAATGAAAAAAAAAAGATGTAAAAGCGGGAAATATCGGAAATGAGCGGGGAAAAATGAAAGAGCAAAATGGAATATAAGTAATTTAAGTTCATAGAGTAATTACTTCCTGAACGATCAACAATAGATTTATGCTGCAAATTGCTCTTACTTTAATTTCTACTTCAATGATCACAAATGATTTGCTTTTACTCAAGAATCTATTATTATTGGTTATTGAAATGCTTTTGCAATTTTAATGGAAACGCAAATCCAAATGGGACATTTATTTAAAAGCTTTTTCTACCAAATCATTCCAATCCTTTTGTTATATTATAACTTCTGCAGCATGCAATAATGTATTCTATTGCATTTTGCATGCTATATAATTTTATCGAATTTGTCAATATAAATAATGCATCAATTAGTAAAAATAAATAAATGCTAATTTAATTATTTAATTTTGACAAAAAAAAAAACAATTATTTCTGGACGATGGATGCAATTCTTAGTTGCAATTTTTTTTTTTTTTTTTGTTTATTCTAAATCAATATTTTAGATGCATGCATTGTACTAATTGATTTGCAAAAATACTGATAATGTTAATATTGAAAATTATAAAATTTTTTAGGAATAAATTAGTTGAGGAAAAAATTTAACAAGTTACAATGTGCAAAAATAATTATTGTAATTTTTTTTTTTTGCAAATTATTTGTAAATAAATCAATTAGCCTTATCGTTGACATTTGACAATAACGCCATGTATGGAAAATATTATCTGCTTAATTTAGTAAGTGATATATTAGCATAACTATGATTATATAAATCTAGCAAGCTTTACTTTTTCAATTAATTAAATTTTTTAAGCTTTAATTAATTCAATAAAATTGTTTGCAAAGTAAACAAATGCAAGATTGCAAGATGGATTCTTCCAATTTATATTTATTAAAATGCTTAATTGTTTTAATGCTGTAAACATCAAATAAATCGATTAATAATAAAATACAAAAAAGTTTTTAAATTTTATGATAAATTGAAATTTCATTAACTGATAACAGAAATAAAGAAAAAAAGTAATACATTAAAATTTGTTCAATATATTTACCATCTTCCCAAACTTCAGTAAATGGTACATGAATTGTTCCAAACATATAACCTTCAATAATATTATTTCTTTCAATTGACCATAAAAAAATCGATTTTTTATTTACCTGAAAGGAAAAATTGCAAAGTATTTTGTTTGTTGCAAAAAATAAAAGAAAAAGTGAAAAAGAAAAAAAGAATTATTTGTGAAAAAAGAAAAGAGCTAGTTGTTCAAAAAAAAAAAAAAAAAAAAGAAAAATTCAATTCAACAAGCAATTTTAAATGTCCTTTCAAATTTGTCAATATATTTCTTCAAATTTTTTCCGCCTTTTTCAAGAAAAGAAAAAAGATAAAATAAAAAACTAAAATTAGAATAGAAATAAATTTGAATAGCTCTTTCGGACAATGTTATCACACATTTTGAAGAGTTTACTTAAATTTTTCATTTCCATTAATTGTGTAAAAAAAAGTGGCGAAAAATTTATTAGCACAAAACTAAATTATCTTTTAGATGAAAAAATTTATGATTTAAAGAGAATTTAACTTTTTTTTTCTCACTAAATTACAGTTTATTTATTACAATATTACGTATTGCATTCGAAAATTGACATCAATTAATTTTTAGATCCAATTTGAATAAGCGAAACAAAAAAAACAAAATAAATTCTCTTAATTTAATTTAATTTTACTAGGTATAAAATTTTAAAAATGATAGCATTAAGTGATAAAAAATGAAAAACTGAAAATGATTTACTAGAATAACACTTAAAATAATTATTGATGATATATTTAAAAAAGAAACAAGAACGTCATTTTTTTTTTCTTTGAAATGGAATTTGTAACAGACGTGGAAAAGATGAAAAAATAAAACTTAAATTTAATTTTTACCTGATCAATATTTTTGCATGAAATTTGTAACTGATACGTGCAAGATAATTGGAACATCAGCAATAGTTGTAGAATTTTCATAACAGAACTGATAATGATAGTGATAACAATAGTGATAATAACAATAATGATTTCACGTTCATGAGCAGCATAACTTTGAATTTTTCAATAATTCCTTTTCTTCTTTCTTCGTTTTTTTCCTCTTCTTAAGGATAATTAAATTTATAATCGCTCGTCTTCATCAACTAATTTTTTCGATTATCTAACAATATTAAATTATAAACGAAACAAAAAAAAAAATTTCTTTTTCACTATATTCTGAAGCGAATTTCAATTATACTTCTGAAATTTGTCATTTAGATTTTATTGAAATCAAATGTAAAATACTTAGTAAGGAGAAAAGAAAAATCCAATAAAATGTTGTCCTAAAACAAAAAAGTTCCCTCCATTTCGTTTTCGTTTTTTATTTTTTATTTTTTTAATTTTGCGATCCACTAATCTAATATTCATTATCCAATCATCTTTTTTTCTAAAATAAATTTATATTGAACGAAAGTTTTTTTATCAAACATAAATAATAAAAAATAAGTAAATAGTTAAAAGTGAAAAAGAATAGCAAATTTCAATTTTAAGTAGTAATAATATAAATTGAAACAAACTGTTAAGTGAAAACATAATTTTTTTCTAATTAATTTAGAATTGCTTAATTATTTGATTGGAAAGAAATGGAGAGAACGGAGAAAAATAAAGAGAGAAAGAGAGAGAGAGAGAAAGAGAATGATGAACAATTAAATTTTGTTACATTTTTTTTTGTGAGAATGGATTAGTTATATCAAATTAATAAATATTACGAATGACTTAATGAAAACTCAAACAGTTGTTATATTTTGCTTTATTTTGATGAATAATTTGCAAAAATAACTCTTTCAATGCTTCATATTATTCCTATCAAAAATAAAAGCTTTTTTCTTTTAATATGATTAAAAAATCCAAAATTTTGGAATAATTTTCTATAGCATGAGAAAATAATTACTTTTGTATGAAATGAATTCATTGTAAATTTGATAAACAATTTTGATTATTGGAATTGTTTTCTTTTTTTTTTTCTGTTTCCTAGTAATTGACAAAATACGCGAAAAAAAAAGCTTTGTTCATTTTTCAGCTTTCAGAAATTTTGCAGTTTTTTCATTAATCTATTTCATTTATTTATTTATTAGTTATTTAATTATTAAGTTATCAATTCATTAATTCATTTATTTAATTTTTACTTCATTTACTTAAATATTAGCTTATTTACTTATTTATTGTTTATTTACTTGTTCATTCATTTATTTTAAACTGGTCAGGGAAATAAAACAAAGTGAAATTATTTTCTGCTAAGCAAACAGTTAAATATTGTTATTAGTGAATGCACTTTAAATATTAATCTGAATTTAACTATGAAAATTTTAATTATAATAGTGCTACGTTTTTATTATGATAATTGAAATAAATTTTCAATAATTTTACAAATTATAAACCATTTTTTGAGAAAACACGAAGGAAGAAAATTAATGAATAAATTGTTTCAAAAATTTTTCATTATTCAACAACAATTATTTCTTACTAATCTTTTAAAATACCAAAATTAGGAAATAACAATAATAATAATAATAATAACAATAATAATAATAATATTTCATTGTTTTGTTTTAATTTAAAATATGACGAAATAATAGATAAATTTGCAAAAAAACTTTTAAATATCTAAAAATAAAAAAGGAAAAGTTAAATTATAAATGAATATAAATATATTTGAAATGTAATTTTCTGGAATAGTTCATAAAGGTAGTAAAATGTGTCGCCTTGATATTACGAGAAATAATTTTTGAATGGTGAAGGCGTGGTCATCTGAATGGCATTCTTTTGGTTAAGAATAAAATGAAATATGTTTGTTTATATAAACTATTCGTGTAACTCATTCATTTATTGAATTATGAAATTTAAAATTAAAATCTTCCAAATAGTGAATTTTTAAAATTTTCTAATTTTTGAAATTAATAATACTAAATTTCATTGTTATAAAATGTAAAATAGATAAACATATATTAATATGAAATAAATAAATAATGAAAGTATTAACACAAAAAATGATTTAATAGTAAAATTTTTAAAGTTTATTTTTAAAAATTTTCTTTTGAAACAAAGAAAAAAGAAAGATGGATGAAAATTTTCTATGGTTTTTTTTTTCTTTTGAAATTAATAATGATAAATTTTTTTATGTTAATATAAAATAAATCAATAATAGCATTTAATTTAACACAAAAATGATTGAATAAAAAAATATGTATTTTTTTTTTTTGAACTAGTTGAGTTTTGTTTTGTTAATTATCAAATAAACAAATAGATTAAATATTTGTAATGTAAATTTATTTAATTTAAGTAAAATTTTTAGTTGTTTACGTGTGATCAAAAGAATATTATTATAATGAACAATATAAATGCATTTGCTAAACAAAGCAAAGCAAAAAAAAAAAAAAATTTAATTATCAAATACAAACTTTAATAGCAAATAATACAGTCCATCTAATTCCTATTTCGATTATTGATTGCGACAAATTTTTATTGAGTGACACAAATAGTATGATTTACAATAAATTTGTAATGTAGCAAATATCTAAATAAAATGAATTATTTGCTTCAAAAAATAAAAACATATAAAGCTAACCTCTTTTAATTATTTTAATTGAATTATAATTTAATTCAAACTTTAATCGTAATATCTTCATTACTCATATTCTTTTGTTATTCAATGTAAAACTGATAATAATCAGTTTTATGAAATGTTTCAGAAATTATTTTAGAGTGAAATTACCACTGATCATTATTATTAAAAGATTATGCGGCAGTTAATACAACAATGATATTAGTATTATCAGTGATATTAGTATTACCAACTTACTTGTAATGTCCTTATTTATATGACCTAGTATTGAACTATTGAACTCTTGCATACGAATCTAACTGGCTTTAATTATTGAACTTTAATTACTTAGACTTGCTTTAATTGCTCAAATTATAATTTAACTCAAACTTTAATTGCAATGTTTTAATTACTAATAATTTCTTTTTTATATTCTTACTACAAATAATTACTCTTCTATATTTTTATTACTTTTCCTATATTACATCAGTTTTTGCATTTCAAAAAAAAAAACTATTTCAGAAAGTTATATTGTACAACTTATACTAGCAGCTAGACTAGTTACAAAATTTGATCTACTAATTGATAATTCAGGATAAAATGTTTTCCGTTTTACTCATCAAATAGAGTATCTGGAAAAGCATCTTTTCTAACTTTCTCAATATTCATAAAATATAATAAAACAATTACTTTTTGTTGCACTAAAAAATAAGAAAAAAAAAAGGATTTGAAGAAATAACGAAGATTTAATCTTATCATCCAATAAGACTCATCAAATGAACTTTTAAATGAGATATTTCATCAGTTTCGCCGGTAATGTGAAATGAAGATAAATCTGAAATGCAAATATATTACTGTGAAAAAAGAAAAAAAAAAAGCTTTCATTTTTAATTCAACACTTCCGGAATTTTCAAATCTGTTAAGTAAATATAAGTTCAATGTTTATTTGGAAAGGAAAAAAATTTCATCGTTAAATATTTTTTCTTCAAGAAATGACAAATGTTTGTTGTTTAAACTTGCATTTATCACTGGTATTGTTGATATATATTATTTTTTTTAAAAAAGGTGATCAGTTAAATTATTTTTACTTTTTATTTGATTTTTCGTTTTTTTTTTTTAATTTATGTTGTTTTTTTTTTAAAAAAAAAAAAACTCTAAATTAAGGTGATATAATACATTTAAGATCTATTGTTCACTTATTAGTCCAACATTTTTTTTTTGATTCATTAACAAAAAGCATGATTTGCTTACAGTTATTAAGAATATATGATCTTTGCTCTTAGCATACTCAAATATTTTAAATCCAAAGATTTCTATTTCAATTATTAAAATCAAAAATTTTAATTCGTCACTTTAATCATTTAAGTTTATTTCTGTGTCATATGTTTTTACATGAAATTATGGATGTTTTAATTTAAACCGAACTTTGTTTTTTGTTGAATAAAGATGAAAATTTTTTAAATCATTTTTTACACATAACAATAATGCATTTTTATAAAGAATTTAATTGAATTACAAATTGCTCCATCAATGATAGCACAAATAAATAACTTAACAGAAAAGAAAAAGAAAAGTTGTTGGAATGAATTAAACTGTATCACTGATAATAGAAGTTTTAAAATTTTTGAAACTATTTTATTGTAAAGTTATTTTATAACACAAAAATGAAGGAAAAAGCAACTGAAATTTAAATTTCAAAACTAATTAATGATATAAAACTGTATGAAATAAAATTATTGGTAGTGAAGGATTTTTTCTCTCATTTTTTTTTTGTTTTATTTTTTTTTTTTGATGCAATTATTAAAATACTAACAACAAAGAAAAAACAATATCACAAAAATTTGCCCAAGTTTTCTTTTTTATCTCTTTTCTGAATTCAAAAAAAGAGTGGAAATCAATAGAATATGTTTATCTAAATTAATTGAAATAATTAAAAATGCTTTCTTAAGCAAAAATTTGATCACAGAAAATTCTATTTGAATAATTAGAATGTTATTTTAATTGTAACAAGAGAAAAATTATTTAAAAATTGATTTAAAATCAAATTTTTTTAGCTTTTCTTCCTTTTTTCTCTCTCTCTTTCAAAATTGAGTTTGAGATGATAGCTGAAATCTCATTTTGGATATACAAAACAAAAAAGAGGATGATAGTTTCAAGTCAAATTAGAATTGAAAATAAAAATCACACTTTTGTCCTAAAGTTTATTCAATTTTTTTTTAAAGATAACCGTACAAATTGCTGTTTCCTGAATGTTTCTTCTTGTATAATTATTGACATAAAGTTATTTACTGCCATATAGCAAATGACATATATATATATTTTAACAACTTATAAATAAGTATAAAATGATTTTATGTTGCCTAACAGTTAATTAGTAAAATGCATAAGTAATTTAAATTTATAATTTCTTTCTAAAATGTATGTAAAACTAATGTTTTCATCCTGATTTATCATTTAATCTAATTCAAACATTAATTAAATTAAATTCAAACATTTAATGCATATTTGTAAATCAAAGCAATCTTTTCCCATTTCAAATAATTCAATTAGTGAATTCTTTTTAAAACATAAAACAAAGTTATACCGTAATTATAATTTTATATATTTATGTTTGCATTCATTTATTTCTTTCATGATTTTTCTTATAAGAAAAATTCACATTTCATCCATTTATATTACTCTTTCTCATTTAAAACAGAAAAAAAGATTAAATTAAAAAAAATTGCTGTTAAATATAGTACGAAAAGTTATTAGACGATGATTTCATTTCTATTATCTCGAAAAAATTTTATTAATTTTTAAAATTTCAGAACAAATGAGAAAAAATGATATAATTGGTTGCTTTATTGAGAAGTGAAATATGTAAATATGTAATTATTATTTAAATCAGTGTATTTATAATCTTATTTTTTAATTTTTTTTTTTTTTTTTTTAGAAAAACCTACATCATTAATTGGAAAAAACATAAATTATATGAAAATAGCATTAATAATTATTTGCAATTAGCATGTTGTTTACATCAATAACACTGATAATAATATTCAATAAACAAACATAGACACACACACATACATTTCTTTTTGTTTAAATAAAAATATTGAGAAAATAATGTATCATCCAAAGTATTTTTAAGCATATATGCAAATGCTAATTAATACATAAACAAAGAAGAAAACAAAAACGTAATTTTTATCAAATTTATGGAACTAAATTTAAATAGCAAATGATCGTTTATTAAATTAAATTGGTGAAAATTAAGTTATACGAATAAAGAAAAGAGAAATTAAGTGTAGATAATAAAAGTAAGTTAAATGTTAGAAAAAGAAAAAATATTGTAGTGAAATAAATCTTGCTTAAAATTTTTGAAATTTATTCATGAAAACTTTACACTTTAACCTAATATTTAAAAAAAAATCATTTCATACAAATTATATAATTCAGTTTTTATTAGATGAATAGTTATTTAGAAAAAGCTGTAGAAGAAAAGATAATAAAATGATGAAAATTTATACGAACGGATAAAAATTTTTTGAAATTTGTAATTTTAATTACTGCTTTATTTTTTAATTTTTTGAAATTTTAATCAAAGTTATTCAAATACTTTAAACATTAGCAAAAAAAAAAGCAATTTCTTTTCGTAATACTCGATTAATTAAATTGAAAAAAATATGCCTTATACAACAGAATAATTTTTTAATTATAATTTAAATAAAACAATTCTTATAAGTTAAAAATTTTTATAAATAATTTGAAAAGAAAACAAGAAAAATCGGTAAATTTAAAAAAAAAAAAAATGCTGAACTTTTAATTACAGTTATTTGCTATTTCGATTTTATGTCAATTAATAATTTTGATTAATTCATTAATCATTTATCTTTTACTTCAGCAAATCCATTGATATCATTTAAAATTTTCACAATACAATTTAAATTATAAATTAAAATCAAAGTGCAATTAATATTTAATTTCTTAAAATATAAAATATGAATGACGTGCATATTAATTTAAATGCGTTCACATTATATGTAAACAAATACATATACATATATATATATGTATATATCCGTATGTGTTATGGTAATATGAAAACTTAATTTTAATTTATAGTATTGCTGCTCAAATAACATAATGTGGCATTTTCAAATGTATAATTCTACTGTATATAAATTTATTTATGCATAAATTATTTATTTAATTATAATCTGTGCTTACGCTATTTTCTTTTTATAATATTTGAAATGCAAAAAATTTAGTTATTACTTGGTTAAAAAAGAAAAAAAGATGAAAGTAATATAAAACGATGCATTGAAATAATAGTTATGACACTTTTAGATTTTAGAGTGCATATATTCAGCAGGTTTTAATATGTATTGGCTTTGAGATATTAAAATTTTATTCATTTCATCATTAATGGATAATCATTTGTAAAAATTTTAATTGATTACTGCATTACATTGTTTGTTGCATCGTTTCATTCCATTTTCTTTTTTTATTGGTGGAACTTCTAAGAATTAATTTATTGTAATGCTTAATTTTCAATAATTTGTAATTTTCTATAATTTATATTGAAACTTAAAATAATAGTCAGAAAAAGAATTTATACACATAATATTCATTCACAATACATTTACAGTAATTCCACCAATAAAAATTAAGAAATATATTTGTTTATGATTATTGTTTTTGATATAACTAAATTAAATCAATATTTTTGTTGAACAAAAAAAAAAGAATGAAAGATTCAAACATTTTTCTATTTTTTCAATCATTGGATTAGTAATGAACAGAATGAATGGAATTACAACAAATTTAAATAAAACTTATTAATTAGAAATAACAATTTGTTGTTAATTCAAATAAAATTTGTAGTTTAACTTTTAATCATTCAATGCAAAATTAGAGATATACTATAATATGCCATTTATAAATCATAATAGTTGCGCCTCAGTTTCTTTTACATTTTTTTTTTAAGCAATTTTTGAAAACTTTATCATTTCTTTTAATTCTCTGCTCCGTTTCTCAATTTAAAATTTCACACCTTTACCTTTCTGTTTCACACCTACATCCTTCAAAACTCTTGCACTTCACTAGAATATTATCGAATTAATGAAGTATAGTTTTTTTTTTTTTTTTTTTTTTTTGCATTCAAATATAATAACTTAAAGAAAGTGCAGTATCGTGATTGGTTATAAAAGTTTGAATGTTAGCTTATGATTGCTATTTTTAATTTAGTAAAGCAAAAATTGTTGAACGGAAAATAAACTTTCGTATGGTGGTACCCTCAAAAAAAAAAAAAAAAAAATTAATATAACTAAAATACTAAAATTATGAGCTTACAGTGAGGTATCTTTTAAAATTTGTTAAATTTCAATTGTGAAATTAAATGAAATTTAGAACTTTTGCATTCTGAATAATTATGAATATCAATTAAATTTGTTTTACAAATGAGGAGGAAAAAAAATCAACTTAAGCATTTTACCTGATTGCAACAAACTTGCAGTAACTGATAAATACTGTTTTTGGCTAAATAAAATAATACAATCGTTACAAGAAAATACATTTTTTGAAATTGCAAATTAAATTTTAATTCAATTTTTATTGCTGTATAAACTACTATTATTTTTGTTGCAATGATAATATTTGTTATTTGCATGAGATGCTTCTTTCTAAATGTTTATTTGATTTTATGATATTTTGTTAATTAAATTTTGATTATATGCCATTAAAAATATGCGCTTTTTTTTAGGAAATGTTTATTATTTTTGGTCAGCAAATGGCTACAGTAAATTTAAAAAATCAGCAAAATAATAAACGAATACTATTATTGTTGATATTATTTACTTCATTACATTTGGTTATGCCAATAAGAAATTTTGTGCAACTTAAATATCATCCTGATGAACTTAACGAAGTATGTTTGCCATGCTTACTTTTCTTTTTTCTTTCTTTTCAACTTTAATTACTTAAAAATTTTCAAAAAGTAATATTTATCAAATAAGAAAAAAAAAAAGGATAAATGTTCAGCAAAAATTAACATGATTGAAATTATTTGGATAATTATTACAATTCTGTATGATAGCTGCTGATTATTTCTAACATTTCAAAAAGAAAAAAAAAACCATGAATTTTTTTTTTTATATAACAATAATGATTTCAAGTTTGTTTTTAAACAATTTAAATTAATAACTCAATTTTTTATAACTTAAATTATTAACAAATAATAGATAAAATTTCCAGTAATACATAACAATTTTAATATAAAATAAATTTTAGGATAATGTTATAAATGAATTGCATCAAATGGATCATTTGCTAAAACGATCGGGTGAGAAAAATTGGGAAGAAATTGATCCAAATTGTGGAATTTATCGACATCAATCACTTCATGCTATTATGGATCGAGTTTGTGAACTCTGTCATGAAATGTTTTCCTATGAAGAGAGCAGTCTACGAGCTGAATGTCGGTTAGTCATCTAATCTTTCATATTATTACATTTTTTCTTTTTTTCATTATTATTTCTAATAATTGAAACTTAAAAATTCAACAATTAAATTTTGGATTTATCGCTTTTTTTTTCAAAATTGCCAACTTTAATTCTAATTCTGATAGCTTATCATTTATGATAATCTGAAACAAAAAAAAATGTTTATCATCAAAATATTATACAAGATTTTTAAATGTAGAAATTTTTTATTTATATTCAAGCATTTAAATTTGTTTCATGAAAAAAATAAATAAATAAATTGCTAATTATTTTAAACATAAATTAGCATAAAATATTAATTTAATTTTTCATTTGTTTTATTTTATTTCATTTTTTTTTTCTTTTAATTGCAGAAAGAATTGCTTCCGCAATAGAAAATTTCGTACATGCCTAGAAATCTTTTCACCTGCAGCAAATGGCGTTGAAAATTAACAAATGTAAATGAGTGGAAGGATTATCAGTGATGGCAATATTTATCTCATTTATATTATTATTCTTTTAAATCTTAATTTATACATCTCATTGTATTAATTATTTATCGAGCATTTTAATTAATTACTGATCATAATTAAATCGTTTTTTTTCTCTGCTGCAATTAATTGGATCAATCAGTCTTTTGATATGTTGAATTAAATACTGTCATTTGCCCAACAGTTTTATTGTCTTTCTTCAAATTTTATTTCATCCAAACATTTATGTTATATTTTAGTAATTGTTCCACTTTCTTAGCTTCTTTAGAAAAGAAAAAAAAAAAAACGATTTGATCCATTTTAAAATTTATTGGAAAATTTTTTTCATTTTGTATTACTGTAATCAAAAATTGGGCAAGAAAAAGAATAAAATTTAAGAAATGGATACATAATTATTAAACAATTTCTTGTGTAATTACACAGACTTTTTCAATCTTATTTTAGTACAGCAAAAGGAAAATATTTTTTTTTAAATTGATTAGTTTTTTAAGGCTTGTTCAGAGAACTCTATGAATTTATAAATTTCTAACATCTTCTGTTTTCAGATATTTAAAGTAAATTTTGAAATTCTCCTTTTAATTTGAATGTATAATCCATACATAGTATAACAAGAAGATGAATAAAATGATTGAATGTTTGTCATAGATAATCTCTTCTAACCAAATTACAAATCAAAAGTGTTTCAACATTTTGGTAATTTAAATAATCTACCAATTTACCATTTTGAAACCTAAAGTCTATTCGTAATAATATTTTTGATCAAATTATTAAATATCATCTTTGATAACATTTGCTAACTTTATCATTCATCATTATCATTTTCATTTCTTCCTCATAACAGAAATGTTTTCAAATATTTCTCCTTTCTTCTTTTTTATTTCTTATTAATATTATTTCATTTCATTCCATTCATTGTGCCAAACATGTTTTTGTGGATGAAAAAGGCGCCACACTGATTGATTTGGGCTTGAAAACTTAAGGATATAGTAGATTGAGAAAATAAAAATAAATTCAACTGTATTAAGATGAATTATTTTCATACTGATAAAATTATCAATTAGATAATGAATTTCGATTACAGTGCTAGAAAATAGGCATAAATTGAAATTTAGCTTAACTATCTTTACATCCAACTTCATCAATATTTTATCATTAAATTTTTGATTTATTTTCTTATAAAAATTACAAATAGATGGACAGTAAGCATTGCACGCTATTGTTATATGAACAACGTTGATCACACTTAGTAAACTAGATCGATTAAATCATTAACAGATTTAGAAATGCTAAATCTGTAAAGTGATAAAGTATTTCATTAGCTTAAGATGTTTTCATTTAAAATAACCCAATCGCTACCATAAGATTCAAATAATCCTATAAATTATATTACAGCGATGTTTAATGTCAATTCTGAACGATTATTTTCTTTCCAACGACAATTGGTGACTAGATATTCATTGTTTCATGAAAAAAAAAAAATAAATAAATAAATAAAATAAAATAAAAGAACCAAGAGAAATTTGAAGGAACAATAATTTAATTAATGACTTATTAATTACTTATTAATGAGTAATTAATAACTAAAAAGCTGGAAATATCGCCGTATGACTGCATCCTATTTGCAGATTATTGTTAAAATCGTTCAAGATTATGTCACTGACTTGCTGAATTGGAGTGATAGCGATAATGGCGATAATGACGATGATGATGATGATGATGATGATGATGCTTGACAATGATGATGGTTGATGCTAATGATAATAATAATAATATAATAATAATATTTAATCCAAACTAGTTTTGATGTCAAAAAACATTTCTGATTGTGAAGAATCCTAAAATTAAACAGTTGACTGTTATCACCAATCAATATTTACTGAATATGCGAAATAAATAAGATAAAGGACTATAATAAACCATTTGTGTTAAATTTAATCACTTAATCGTCAACATATAAATAAAAACTGTAAAGCTGAGACAAAAAGAAATTTCCATTTTTTTTGTTTTTTTTGAATAAAATTCGAATTTTATGATAATCACAGATACCTTTTCCCGTAGGCCATTCTTTTACGTTTTTATTTTATTCAGTTCTTTAGAGAAAGAAAGAGAAAAAAAAAAGGCAGAAAAAAAAAATTATATTATCGTATTTTAATCGATGAATAATTTGAGGCGAAAAGAGTTTTTTTATTTATGCTTACTAAAAGGACAATTGTTTTCTGCTTTTTTCATCGTATGGCTTTTTAAAAAAGTATTTAATGCATTTAAATTTTATATGATGAAAATCGTCCTGAAATTGATGATATTTGAATAGTGCAAACATTTAACATGCTGAAACTTTCACGGCAAATGTTTTATCATTTTTTTTTTTTAAGAATAACAAAAGAAAAAAAGAAAAAATAAAAAAAAAGCTTTTAGAAAATAATCACTTTTTTTGATTTTTAAAATTTATAATTAATCGAATTGAAGTAAAACAACTAAATATTTTATGCGCATCTTATTATCATTTATATTACCTAATTATTCTGTTTAGTTTGAAGTTTTCGTTGAAAATGGTATATAATTTGCAAACCAAAATAAGGATGCAAAAAAAAAAAAAAGTTTTAGCTTTTTTATTACAATTTCTCATAAAAACAGAAAAAAAGGAATGTATTTGAATTTTCATGAATCTTCTCAACGTTTATAAATCTTTTTTCTTCTTTCTTGTAGCAGAAATTTTTTTCCCAATTCATAAAGAAGCTCTGAATGACATTATGATGACATATAGTTGTTTGCTTGTTTACTAATTCAACAGTGTAATCGTATTATTTACATAAGGTGAATTTTGGATAGCATTAATTCTTTCATTGTTCAATCGTTGTACAATCATAACTTAGTCAATAATTTTAATTGTTAACTTCTTTAAAAACAAAAAAAAAATAAGTGAAATAATATCTTGCCATAATGATAAACTTTAAGCCTTATGGATAAGGTAAATTCTCATCTTCTATATAACTTTGATTTTTTAATTATTGTGTAATAAATATATTCATAAATGAAGAAATAATAATTTTAGTCCTTCAATTTTCCCTCTTCTTCTTATTCTGACTCATTTATTTTTGTTCTTTCACCTTTTTCTCTTTTTTTTTGAGTTTTTTAATTATTTGACTAAAAAAAAAAAAAAAAACAGGTAAGATGACGTGTAACAAGTTGTTTAATTATTTTTAATAACATCATTTCAATGCATTTTTCATCATTGTTAGTTGACGTAAACTAAGTACAATTCCCCTTTTTTTTTGGAAATTAATTTCCTTGTCATGAATAAACCAACATATGTAAACAATAACATATAACAATTAAATTAGTTAGTAGTTAAATATCGGATAAAATAATTATTCAGCTTTGTTCAATACTTTTATAACAAAATTTTAATTTTTCATTCACTTCATTTTTATTTATGATTATTATTATTATTATTAATAATAACAAGAATGCAAATAGCGACGATGATGATGATAGATGATGATAATCATTATGATTATCAATGTAAAGATGACGATAATAATAATGAGGTGTTCTTATCTTGCATCTTTTTCATCAATTTGTTGATAATTTTTGTTATCAAAAAAAGCATTATCATATCATTATCATTACTAAAAGTGCAATTACTTCTCTAGCTGCTGCATGTCCTTATAAATAAATTTAAATCTAAAAATCTTTTAACTGCAATAATAAAACATTTATTCACACAGTTATTATACAGGAATGCATGGGAAGAAATTATATTTATATATATATATATGAAATTATTGCAATGTTAGTAACATTATTTATTAATTAGTGTCTAATTAAATATTATTCATTAATATTAAATTAAATATTATTACTATTATTTCAAAACTTAATGCAAGTGCTGTATGTTAATAGTTAATATGAACATAATTTATCCGTTTGATAATTTCGAACTGAGGTCTCTTTTTAAAATAAGCATTTTGAAAATTTATGTTAATAATTTATTTTTCAGCTAAATGATTATTTGCAAAGAAACATAATGATGCATTAATTTAACTTATCAAATCAAATTTTATTCTTTTTTCTGCTTTCATTTTATGCTTATATATTATATTAGCAAATATGTGAATACACATTCGTTAACATATATACAAAGGTTAATGAGTAATTGAAATTAACTGGTTAGATAACACAAATGTGATATATGAGATGACATGTCACTAGGAAAACTTATTGGTTGCAACTTTTTAAATGCAAAATCAATAATGCTTACATCACTAGCATGTGAACAACTTTATTCAATTTTCCACTTATCGCTACTTCTTAAATTGGTTGAGAATATGTATCTTCTTCAACTTTTGCTTCCAATACTTTGCTATTTACTATTATATCATTGCTCCTATTACTACTATTACTATTTCTGGTAGTTAGTATTATATTCATGAGTTATAAGTTAAGGTTATAATTAAAATTAATATGGTGATAATATAACTATGATTGATAAATGAGATACGAAGGATTACGATGATAAAAATTCTTTTAACATAAAGATGAAGAATTATCAGTATTGATTACGATTTAAATACTTTCAAGAATGTTGATTTTTCACATTACTTTATTATGTTTTTTTTTTCTCTTCTTCTAAAGAAATTTTTTTTCTGCTTAATCATATTTTTTGCACTTTTCTCGTTTTAAAATGTTTTATTAGTCAAATAAAATTAATAAAACAAACAAATGTTTTACTTTGGATTATTTCAATATTAATTTGTTCAAGAAACGCAATTTATTATCAAAATTTAAATTAGTTGATATTATTTAATAATGTCAACTTACTCATTTATTTAAACAAACATTGCCATCGTTTTTTTTTTTTTTTTTCATCCTAAATGAAGCACTGTAATATTGAAATATTTTTTCAAACTCCAACAGTTATTGCGCATTGTTTTAATTTTATTTTAGATGCCTAGTTGCAAC